TCTGGTTCTGACAAACGACAGTTACGCTTGACATATAATTACTGGAGAAAAGGTGGCTATAGCATTGGATCCGAAGATTATCGCTGGTATGTCTCTCTTTGATGGGTATAACTTTAGGGCTAACCACTTCTCAGGGAGATTGTCCGACGAAACGTTCCTCCAGCGCTCTTCTTCGTCTTCAATATCGTCTTCATATCATTGGCACAGAGCATTTTACTTTTTCTAGTTGCAACGCCATCATATGTTATGCTCTTAGCTGCACGATATGGAGTACCGTGGACGACGGCAGATTTGATTTTCTCCAGAGGTCTTATCACTCTTGTTGTGTTTGAGTATTTTGCAGATGGACAACAGTGGAGTATGTGGTTATAGACATCTTTTCTGCTGCATAGCTAATGTTTCTCAAAACCAGACTATCAAAACGCGAAGCAACAGTACTTGAAGACCGCCAAAGTACAAGGAGGATTCGATCAAGAGTCGCTCGACCGCGGCTTTGTGACCTCTGGTCTCTGGTCCTTCAGCAGGCACCCAAATTTCGCCGCTGAGCAGGCTATATGGGTAGTGCTCTATATGTGGGGCTGCTGGACCAGTGAAGTATTATTCAACTGGACATTTGCCGGTGCCATGTCGTACTTGATTCTTTTCCAGGCCTCAACTTGGTTGACCGAGCTCATAACTGCAAAGAAATATCCAGATTATCAACAATACCAAGCCCGGGTTGGCAAATTTTTGCCTAACATCTTTTCTACGGGGCCAATCTTCGCAAAGGTGGAGAAGAAAGCAGCCGCAGCTGTCAAAGGTGATCGAAAAAAGGTTTCAGCCAGCAAGTAAACAGATAGCAGTGCAGAATGAGGTTTCCATTTCCAATGCCTACAACCTCAAAAAGCTGGTCAGGATAGGCAAATGACAAGAGAAGGGCAAGAGAGTGTTCCTCAAAAAACGTAAAGAAGAGGTCTCACGATATTTTCTGAAATTATCACAAATTAATAATTAATGTCGCTGCACATCAACTCGGAATTCACATTCGTTTCTGTTTAAATTCATGTTTTGTTGTATTACAGTGCAAACCTGAACTCACAAAAGTGTTCGTTCTGTGATGTTCCTGCCCTGCTCAATAGATTCGCCTTACTAGCAAGTTTGGCAAGTGCCATTACAATAATTCTACCACTGCAGACATCATTCCCACCCTACTTCTACTTAACTCTACATACTTCATCACACCTATTCTCCATCAAATTTTGTCAGGAACTCAGCGACCTCACATCTTTTAATATCATTGATCATATTATCCCCCTAACTATTAACGTGATATACATTTCAAGAATATTTTACGGAATAATAGAACTTTAACCCCCCATCGCTGTCATCTTATGAAAGATTGTACCACAGCCAGCGTTAGAAGCTATACCATCTCTTCCAATCACACCATTACACTATACACACAAAAGCTGTTGGGTCTTGGCAGTGCCACATCGTCATGCTAGAGAAGCACGAATTTGGTGTGAGAACACTCAGACGAGACTCACAAGGTTCCCAACCGGAAGGACACAGCCAACCGCCAAATACACATGGTAGCCTACAATCATTAGTGCCCCCACCCCCATATTGTGTACAAGACAAATATCCTCCCTATGACCCAGGACGCATCTTGACTACAGATAACTTGGCAAACGAACAACTCGCGACTACCACGAACATTCAAGACCCTGAATTGTGCCCACAAGTCCTCGAATGGATAGAAGATTACAACATCTTCATTCTTGCACATAGACCGGACCAGCAACCTCCGGACAACAAGATTGGCGTTCGAAGGAATCGCGGACAATTCAGATCTGAGATGTGGGAGGCTCCAGAAAAGATCCCAAAGCCAAGAACAATACAAACTTCCAAATCAAGGAGATACATCTCCCGCACATTCCCTGCCGATTCTTCCACGCAGCCATATCTCGACCAATGCTATGATCGGCCATATGGATTCTCTTCAAGAACCCCGCTTCCAGAGGAACATGAAAAAATGAAATCTGGCCAAGATCTACGCCTCGAATTAGAACATTTACAAAAGCAAATAGCGTATTTAAAATCTGCCATCATACCAGCCGAGCAAGAATTCCACTCATTAGCTGCACGTCTACCAAGAAACGGCAATGATGGTCCACACTTTGGCATTCTAATCACGGGTGAAAAGGAACGTATGATATCTCAGAGAATGCAGTGGTTACAAAAACAATTTGTGATCATATGGCAGGAGATTTCAAGCAAAGAGCGTGCGCATGAGTACGCCATTGAAGAATTGAGTAGTGTTAGTGAATTGAATGATCGACTGTCACAGCCGCTTAAAGATATGGCCAGGGAGATGAATGAAAGGAGTTTAGGGAGGAGATGGCTACAGGGGGAAATGCCGTGGGCTGATGCTGTGCAGATTGGGAGTGATGTGCCGAACTTTGCTATGATTATGACACAACGCGAATTAAGATAGGGAACTCGAACACGTTTATGATTTGACATGGTAAGCAGGAACAGCGATTGTTATTCATTCTTCAGCGTTCAATATCAAATGGAATATTCTTGACCATCAGAAGTAGAGATTCAGGTCGCTTCCCGTATGGATGTGACGGGTGAAATGTGCCTCCAAGATAGTAGAAATCGGTTTGCTAATTTTGGTGTAATATCCTCCTGTCGAATTCTATGGAGATGTCCAAACTCCACAAACCTCGGTGATAGACTTGAAGTCTCGGCTGAGATGTATTCTTATGGATCATAAATCACAGGTATTTTAACAGTAACTTGTTGTGTAGTATCACCAAAAATAGGATACCTTACAAGATAATCAAGAACTCTTCACTAAAGTCTGGGATGAAATATACCATGTTGACATCTCAACCTTCAGCAATGAGCAGATGGCTATAGATCTTACGACGAGGGTGATATTGATGTTGGAGCTCAATAGGTTATTGGATGTTTAAATTTCGAGGATTCAAATAGAAGTATTATCAATGTGTTCTAGGGTTCTGTTCAGTGCAGATGCGTGATTGTGTTTAATTAGTTGAGATTGGATGAATTGTTAATATACATGCAATTGAAACGAAAGCCGAGATGGTGCGAATGTGGGTGTATGAAATGATATACATATATGAGTATTGATATATGTCTGAAGCTCCAATCCTATGGTTCTTACTCGTAGAGACTCAGTTGAAAGTACAGCCGGAGGGTTGGAGAAATAATATTGCAGGGTGCATACACCCGACGCCATCAGTTGGTATCTCAATAGATGTCACGCGTGCACCTAATCACGGAACGCTAAGCAATGATATATTTGAAGGTATAGAGAAAGAAGATATTCTATTTTGCATTACATTTCGAAGTTTGGCGAGGAAAGCAAAAAATGATATATAAATGCTAAACACTCGAGAAGCAAATGTATAAACAAAACGTCTTCAGGATATAACCTGTCCATTCTAGCAGCCACCCACTTAAAACCAAACATATAGGTATTATTCTCCCTCTGCCAGAATCATAGAATTCCCCATCCAGATCCAACTACTCCACATATTATTCGTCAATCTTGTAGCATATCCATCCTGTGCCCAGCACATATTTTTCGTCGAATTGTTTCATACCACTTAAGCTCCTCCTCGAATCTCAAAGCTCCTCCCTACGATTCCGCTGTGCAGAACCCTTAGTGCCTTGCCGTTCCCAGCACCTGTCTCTAGTGTCTATCACACCCCAGGACCACTTTCTACTTCTTCGCATCCTTCTTAACTTTCGGCTTCGCGTATGGTTTGTTTGTTTCGTAGTGAATCCAAAATGCAATTCCACCCAACACGTTCAATCCAATCAACACTAGAATCAATTGGACGAAGAGAAATGGGTTTGCTTGGAGAACAGCGGTGGCTTTAGGCGTGAATCTCAACCATTTGAAGGCATTAGGTCCAGAGAATGCTTGTCCCATTTTCGCTTATGGTGCTCCGTGAAGATTGAGTATGGAGATGAGGATAGGCTCCAAGATTGAAGACGAGACTTGAATCGCAAAGCTGGGTGGATGTGAGGTTCGGAGGGGTAGTGATTGTGGGCTTGATCGAAGTCAACCGTATGTGAGAAGTTTAAATGATTAATTGTCAATTATGGCGACGGGTGGAGAATTCGATCCGGTCAACAGAAGGCAAGGAGTAGCACGATTTTCCGATAATGCAAACAGTGTACGAAATACAGAGAGAGAGAAACAAGAGATTAAAACCTACGACGGGAGAGCAGGAGACGCTCTCCCCTAAAAACCTAAGATATATGAGACAGTCTACTGGAGTTTCAAATCCTTGGCATGGTGTTACTATGAGCCCATGTTTTGAGGCTCAGTGAGGAATGCCGCCGGGGGGGGAGCTGGAGGAGGACGGTCGATGAGAGGTCGATGTAAGGTCGAGGGGGATTCAAGATGTTACAGATTTGTAGGAGAGTTGTCGCAGGAAACAGAGCTTTGACAGTATTATTGGGTGATGGTAATAGTGGATCATGTGGGATGATAGCCAATTATATGGGGTTACATCTTGATATGCGCAGAGCGGCAAAACATAATTTTATACGAGTATTCATATTCCCATAGCGGCAACGTCGATGTTTGAAAAATATCAGTCTGTCTAAATGTTTTGACAAAGTACTAATATATTGAGGAATTCACCAGGTCACACGAAAGCATATATTATATTTCTCTTTCAAATGATAATTCCGTAAATCTCATGTGGTATTCAGTAGAATAACCTGTATTGAATATCAGAACCATTGTATGATGTCTAGATCAAAAGTATCTAATCATCTCTAGGAGGGCCGTTTATGTCTTGTACGACGCATCGAATCTCCTAAGTTTATCCATATACACAGATCCATAAGCCCATTCAAACACGGATGTATTTGAGTGAAGTCTGCTCTACGCCAGCAATTATGTGAACAAACACATATCGCAGATTACTTACTTGTGCTGTATGTCGTATGTCGTATATCATGTAAAAAATTTATTCGTCAAGTAATAGCCGATCGGTTTCTGGCTTGGATTGTGAATTTGATTCCGGTTCCAAGGGTGTCTCGGGGCTTAGAGACACACTTTCAATCTTTTGCAAAATGCCCTTTCCAGCTCTACTCAACGCCTCCATAATGCTTTCCATTGATCGACTTTCTTGTCTGACAGCTTTCAATGCGGCTTCCACCTCTTCACAGCGCTTTTGCAAGCGATCGATTTCTGCTTTGAGAAGATTTGCCTGGTCATCCTTTGCGCGAAGTTGTTTATCACTAGTCGATTCTATCGATGCCATACCGTTCGATCCCTCATCATTATACTCACTGGATGAAGCCGCATTTTTCTCAATGCATTCCGGTATGAGTGATTTTGCGCCAAAATCTTCGCCATGAGCCTTCATCCAATTACTCAATTGTTCAATTCTTTGCTCCATCTCAAGTCTCAACTTATTCCAGTTCTTTCTCTCTTCCCCAGTCTTTTCTTCCAGTTGACTAGCCATCTTCACAATCTCAACGTACTGTGCCCCTTCTTGTACCGCTGCTTGTCGGTAGGTGTCCCTACTTTTCGCAAGATCCTCGACGTCTCCCTCCAATTCGAGAACTTGGGCATGTAATCGCGTTCTCTCTTCAGTAAGGCTAAAAATCTCGATATCGGAAACCTCGTGCTTCTTCTCGAGGGCGCTCGCTCGACTTTGAGACCGCGAGAAAGCAGCAAGGAGCTTATCGTGTTCACTCTGCAACGATGATAATGCGATCTTTTGGATAGAAACCTCATGTTGAAGCGCTGCTGTATGGACTTGCAATGCACTATCAGAAGATTGCGCGTTTGTAATGGGAGGTAGGATATTGTTAGTAGTGTGGGATTTTGATGATTGAGACGAGCCACCAGACAGACCCGTATATGATGTCGACCCTGAAGGAGACGAGAAGCTGACCGAGGTCGGGGATGGAGACGGAAAAGCTCGTCCTGGTGGAGATGGTAACTGTCGAGCTGGCGCTGAAGGAGGATTCATGCTCGAAAGCCTCCGGCTCGTATTGTCGGTTGACAAATGGATGTAGTTGGGAGATTGTGTTCTTATGGGTGGAAGTCCTTCGCTGAGTGATTTAGCCATAGACCTGCGTCTTTGGTGCATTCTAGAATCAGATGTGCCCATTTCATTCAATGTAGTTCCCTGGTGATCATCCTCAATGCGTCTTTTCATGATGATCAAAGGATCATATGGGGTCACACTGTTAACAGCATCCTTTTTGAAGGGGGCTTTTGAAGACCCTGGAGGGATCTGCTGAACGAACTTATCGGCAAGCTCGTTGACTTTGTTAATTTTGGTAAGTATCCAGTGGAGTGTTTGTTTTAGGCCAAAGTCAATCATTGGAGGTGGATCTCCAGAAGGAAGAAGACGCAACTGTGAGTGGGCCTAATATTTTGTAAGCATGACTCGAAAGATTACATGAGTAAGTAGGAGCGGGATGAACCCTTTCGATAACAAGAACCAAGCACTTTGCTGGTACTTACTGGATTGATACCACGCTTCTCGGAATCTATACCCGAACGGAGCGTCTCCGCTAGCTGAGTAAGCCCAACGCTGCAAGCTTGTGTAACAAGGGCAAGTTCAGGGTTCTTTTGGCAATGCTCGCAACATTCTGGTGAAGATTCTTCTTCTTGATCAAATGTAGTCTGCCGCCTGCACTGACGACACACATTAGACATATGTTGCGAGGAATCCCCCCGGCCATTTACGATCAATCGAGGAGGTTGAACAAGAGTAGAAGCATTCTGGATCGTCTGACTATAATCACGACCCAATCCATTTGAATCTGAAGAGTGAAGGTTGAGTTAGTAATTAAACGTGCCGCTTTCAGACTATCCTAAACACCTACAGTGTACCTGCGATGGGGGCATTTTCCCAAATGCGTCTAGATCCACCCTCGCTACTCCTTTGTAATTACCCCCGTCGTAACGCGACCTTTTCACGACCGAACTTTCGCCATTCCGAGTATGTTGGTTGTTTGGTATCGCCCAGTTTCCTGAATTGCCATGCATTGGATACTGCAAAAGTGGTCCAGCTTCAATTGGTGGTAATGTTCCGCGATGCCAGCTACTACTACTTCCATTTTGTGGTGTTGGTGTTTTCGTATCGTCTTCCCAAGGACGTTTAATGCCTGATCGATACGATTGGGGAGACTCCGTTGATCGTGCATCCATCACCACACTGCCAATACCACTATATTATTGGGACTGTAGGCAATGGCCAATCCATCCGTCCTTCTGATTTCAAACAATGGTATCGTCGTTTCCGAATTCAAACTGGTGCGCGTGCATGGAAGATATTTTCTACTGATGAAGTCTATATCACAGCAAGTATCAGTGTTCTGAAGGAATTTCAAGAAGTTGTCGCCAGACATGATAAGAAATCACTGCTTACATGTTTTCTGTATAAAATTTAAGGAAAGTGATATACTCAGGCATATGCAGCAAATAGCCCTGTGATCTAGGTACTTTCTGTGCACCATCTGAAATATATATTGTACGATGGAGAAGTGAGAAAAGCAAGTAGTCAAATGACAAATTTCATTAGAGAGATACGACGCCGGCCATGATTTGGAGCAATTGGATGAAGGACGTTGTGCACTGTGCACTGTGCATTCTAAGCTCTGTTACATAGCTTTTCTCTATCGAATCTGAAAGGACAGGCTCGTACTGTAGTAATATCATTCATACATTCATAAGAGAAAGTGGGTTTGGGCAGCGTTAGCCTTACAAACTGTGCTGACGCGCTGAGGATCTTTGCTCAATATTACAATACACTCGGTAAGGTGTGCTAGTCGATTGGACGTTCAAGGTGATTCGTTAAGAAAGTGAGGTAATGCAAAACGGAAGAGGGGGCGAAATAAATCCTTGGATTATGAATTTCTGTGCTTTACCCTTGGCTGATTCCAGATCCCTTGTATCAATTTTCCGAATAGACGGGAATCGGGCTGCATCGAAAGGGTTGAAGTTGCTAATGCATCAATGGATGTGATGGGAATCATTCGATCCCTCCCTCCGAGAGTCCCTCGAACGGTTTATATTTCGTGGCTGACTGGCTTTGGCCCTGCGAGACTAGTATCTAACGTGACAAGGGTCAATTTTGATTCACAGTATGACAGTGGTACAGCATCTGGTTGTTGCTTGGAGTCTTGGCCTGGCAAATTGCGGGTAGATTAGGTAGGTGTTTAGATGGTTGAATAGTATCTCCCTTCGACCGTTTGACGGGCGGATTCAACAACAACCGGGATAAGAAGAAAGTAAAGGTTGTTGATTTTGTTTCAAGGTTTGAATTAGCCATCATGTCCTCTTCTTCTCAGGAAATGGGGTGGTGTGGTGTGGTGTGATTGATGGTTGGTGGTTGGTGGGTTGTGGTGATCATTTTTGGCGGTTGGGAGTCAGGGGGTTGGGAACATTGGTGGAAGTAAAAAACGCTTACACATGCAAGGCCTTGCTTACTCAGATTTAACATCTCCACTGAGTTTGACTAAAGTACCCGGTTGAGTTAATTTGAACCTTGTTGTATATAACGTGGTTTATCATCGAGTGGGCTATATTATTAAATAGATCATCATTTTTATATACAAAATTCGTTTATATATAATTATATACTTTATTTATCTATTAATAGAATTTCTAAAAATTGAAATTATAAATTTTAATTACAAATTTTAATTATATAAATAATATGAAAATCTAATTATTTATTGGAAATTCAAATTATTATAATAATTATTATAGAAATATTTTTTTATAATAAAAATCATAACAAATTCCATTTTTTGATATAAAATAATAGGAATTTTCATATAAATACTAGATTTATAAAAAACTTATTTTTTATTATTTTTTATTATTATTATTTTTTTCTTTAAAATAATAATTGATTATTAAAATAAAAATATTAAAAAAGTATTAATTTTGGTGTATTTTGAAGTGGCCTACTCGATGATATAGCCCATTCGATGATAAACCACGTTATTCTTATTCAGATATTCCTGAATTAGCTTTATTAAAGTTTGCGAGTAAGTTTTATATAAGTGTTTGAGTGGATGTTTGAATATTTGAATGGTTATCTGCATACGCCCAAGGATTTACCGTCGGTGAGAAAGGGGTACAGTTTGCGTATATGCCTGCCTACATATACATACGGTGTTGTAAGAAGTGCACATAACATGGATCAGTAGATTTATCAGCCAACGATTACAAGCTCGGGGTCCGGTATGCATTTGTGCTACTAGAGAATGTAATCCGTATAGGGGTCGCACATACAATCGTAGACGTTGAAAGAACTACACTGGCCTGCCAAAACATGTAAGAAGTGAGCGTTTTGCCTCGGAATTATATTTGCAATAGTTCACGCGACCAATAATTCTCCAAAGGTACCCCCGAGCTTGTAGGACGGATCCTTAATGTTCATCGTGAAATAATATGAATCGCAAGGTATACCTCCAACAGCTGACTCAAGCGATGAAGTTGTCATACGGGCGCTGGTGGCGCCGAAAAGCAATTCTGCTTGAATCATCTCCGACTATCACAAAACTACAAGCAGTATGTTGAAAGTTGATTGGAATTCACTGTTCTTGATTGAACTGGGTATTAAAATTAAATACATTTGTATCACGCCCCGTTCCCAGAAAGCCCCCTTATTAAGCAAATGCAATTTGTGGTGTCCAGTTAATCGAAATTTAATCGGACAATCGTCGCTGTCGTTTCGGTGCCCGCTCTGAGGAGAGCGATCGCGAGTATCTATCACCGTTGCGAGACCGTTTAGGTGGAGAGCGTGATCGGCTTGGGGAGCGGGACCGTGACCTAGTCCGAGAGCGATAACGAGAGCGATATCGAGAACGAGATGGAGACCGAGACCGAGATAGAGACCGAGATAAAGACCGAGTCCTGGACCGAGTCCGGGAACGAGAACGGGACGGAGAGCGGGATGGAGACCGAGATCGAGACCGAGATCGAGAGGGGGAGCGAGAGCGAGAACGAGAACGAGAGCGGGATCTTGAATAGGAAGAACCCGTATATGATGAATAACTAGAAACAGAACTTCCTGAGTCCGACGTAGCATCGGCAGCAGCCGCAGGTAGGGTTGGCAGCGCTGGTTTTGGCATATTCTGTAGGTATTCGCGCATCTCTTCGGTGATAGCACCCATCCCAATACTTGTAAAGTAATTGATGGAGAACCTTGTGTTGCGAGGGTTATCTCGAGGGAATAATCCTTCGAAATAAGGTCGCAGTATATCGTCCTTTAAGCGAGCTTGCAATTTTGCCATTCCCATTGCTTCCGATAGATCCTGGAAAAGAATTTTGATGAATATACGACTACTTGATGTTGTCTCTTCTTCATTAAGGTGTACAATAGACAAAACGTGCCAGCCAAGAGCGTCGGAGCTAAGAAGGTGGCCAAAAAATCTCGCGATGTTTCGTAACCTGTTTGTTTCATAACGATGTATGGTATCGTAGTATTTTGCAAATGATTGTTCAAAAAGATCGGTCCAAAGACGATTTATCTTTGCAAACCGCTCCCCAATGAGTCCATAAAACTTTGAGTATGTTCTCTCCTGGGAGCAACACTCAATAACCATGGAGGGAAGTTCTGGCTCTTGTCCGGGTGGCAGTGTAACTTTCATCAGCTTGTGGCAACATTCTTCGGGGTCGATACTAGACATGATAGTCAAATATATGGTTCGCCGTAGGTTGACGAGGTCAGTATTGCTCTGATCCTTAATTTCCAAAGCCTTTTCTTCTTTTTTCTCCTCATCATCCTCACTATCGTCTTCCTCGTCGTCATCATCCTCATCGTCACTTCCCTCTCCAAGAATTTCCGCTTTGAGTCGTTTGTATAATTCCTCGTTTTGTTCCCATTCAGGATCGAATTTGAAAATATTCAATCCATCCTGGACATCAATATCATCATCCAAGGCCATGCGGTGTGTGATTTGATCTTCTTCCTCCACAAGATCCAACTCTTCTTTGATCGCAGGATTGTCTTTATATTTGTCTTTTCGAACTTGGAAAAGGACTTCAATCATATATTGCACCCGTTTGTCAATATCTGCCTCATTCAAAATATTCCTGAACTGGTCGAACACCGCCAGGGCAATAGGCCCGCTCATCTCTTCGAGATGTTGACCCACCTCACGCGTCAATCCAACCGCGATTTCCACACTATCGTCCGTCGGCTTATTGAGGAGTAACAATAGAATCTGGGCCGCGACAATCTCATTTGCTACTTGTTGATTACAAAGATGAGCAATGAACGTGGTGGCAGAAAGACAAACAGCCTTATCGTTTCTCTTGAAACCTTTTTTAAACTGCACTATTAGACGCTTTAACAGAAGCTCTCCAACCTGGGGAAGTTTTGTATTGACGATCGCGGCCATGGCGGCATATATTGGTGTGAATGGTAAACTGGCAGCCTGGGCTTTCATAATGCTCCTACAGAATAACCCTCGACCTCTAATCAGATTCTCTCCGAATAACTCTGGCACAATATGTTTTATATTTGAGACGTTGACTTTGTTGATTAAACCGTTGATTGACTTCTTCAAAGCTTCCCAGGCCATTCGCTGATATTCTTTACTCGATTTGTCGGTGATCTGGGATTGTAGAGCTCGTAGGCGCGCAGGTGGTATATAGGTACCACCAGATCGCATCGTAAGAAGCTTCTCATATTCGGCTTTCGCAGCGGCTTGCTTCTCTTCCTCCGATCTCTTCTCCATGATTGCGTGGGTTGATTCCAACGATTGAAATCGTCAGATGGTTGTCTATTTTTGTGAAGGTAACCAGTATTATTGAAAATGAGGAATTGCCGCAGGGTTAATGGCGCGCTAAAGAACGCGATGAAGCTAAGATAAGATAACAGTCACGTGATGTAGCAAAAGTGCTTTCTTCACTTTGTTCTGATAAAATTATTATAAAATATCACCTACTATATAGTTGTTTGATCAATACATATGGAGCATCTAGAAAGATACATCATTTACTTTACTTTGTACAATTTGCAATAAAACATCTACAAAACATCATTAACGTAGTTTAACACCGAGTAGGTTATATCACCGAGTGGGCCATCATTTTTACATACAAAATTTGTCTGTATGTAACCATGCACTTTCTTTATTTATAAATAGAATTTTCTAAAAATTGAAATTACAAAATTTAATTATATAAATAATATGGAAATCTAATTATTTATTGAAAATTCAAATTATTATAATAATTATTATAGAAATATTTTTTTGGTAATAAAAATCGTAACAATTTCCACTTTTTTTTAGAAAATATAAGAAATTTTTATATCAAAACTAGATTTATAAAAAGCTAGATTCTCATTATTATTTTATATTAATTTTCTTTTAAAAAATAATAATTGATTATTAAAATATAAATATTAAAAAAGCATTAATTTTGATATATTTTGAAGTGGCCCATTCAGTGATATAGCCCACTCGATGTTAAACTACGTTATACCGTCCAGTATTCAATCTTACATAAGTTATATGTAGCTTTTATTGTACCTGTTAGATGAGAGCCGTGCACCACTCCCCCCTTGTATTACGAAAGACCAGATTGACTTGACAGGGAAAGGAAGCTCTCATGTACTTTTGAACAATCAAATTGTCTTCGATTTCTTTACAATATTCAGTCTAGAAAGTAAGGAAACAGCATACCTCTCAAACCTTCAAGCTTTCGGTGTTCGGGTTGATTTAATCACACTCCTTTAAAAGTCTATTGCAACAATGGTAAGATATATCCAGCCGGCGTGTAGCTAATTTTTCGCAAGTTGCGCTGAAAGTCAAACTAACATTCGCAGCTCGATCAACTCGTTGGCCTCGCGATGCTTGTCGCTGCTTCCGTCGTCTTTCTCTACTACACTATCTGGACTCTGCTTATGGTACGGATATCATGCCCTCATCAAGAAAGGGGTTTGAAGCTAACTGTCGGGTCCAGCCATTTGTCGACTCCGATCATCCTCTCCAAAACGTATTCCCTCCTCGAGTCTGGGCAATCAGAATACCTGTCATCCTTATCTTGTTGGCATCAGCTGTCGTCGGGTCTTTTTTGAGTGTGGTCATGATCAGAAGCAACAGAAAGAAGGCTGCCAAAGCGAAAGCTGCTTTGAAGAAGAAGGCATAAATGGGTTATATTGGGGCGGATTTGGGTAATGGGATTGGTGTTGCGGCAGTACAATAGTGTTTTGTATTTACATGATATCGAACTCATTTTATGCTTGCCTGGCAGTCAGTGGGAGCCCGCGGGAAATTTGGCGCAAATTGTGGAAAGGTTGGGCGTGAGTTTTTTGGCATTTGTGAGGAATTTATATATGCATAAAATACCCCCGATAAGCAAGTGTCAATTTTCAGCCTAAGCACTTGGTGATGATAATGGTACCAGTAGTTCAATCAAACTTCTATGTGTTGTCACGAGCGAACCCTTGGAGATTATGAACGCGGTCGGCTTTGTCTTCCGACATAATCTGAAAGTCCTAGTAACAACAAACAGTTTTACACCAGCAACAACGGGTTTGCTGTACCTGCAGGAGACGTTGTTCTATTCCTACTTGACAATCGAGCTAGCAATATCCTCCTCTTCTAACGTGGCTAATTTACTGAGATCTGCTATGCAGCCTGCTCTCATGAACATCAGTCAAACTTGCAAAGTAATTTACAAAGTAATTTTCAGTCCAGATATGCCTCTATTAAAGCCCGGAAATGTATGAATAGTTACGAGTCTGGAGATGTCTCAATTGCCTTGACTCTGTTTGATCCACGGTATAGCTTATGCTCGGTACATTCAATGATTTAAAGGGGGTTAGTTACGTGACCCATTGAGGTGTATTACTCAGGTAGCTACCGCTAGAGCCAATGAATCTAATACATATACAATACTCAATATGAGCACATGTTGCTTCCTCCAGCGATAAGTACAAAGAGAGGAAGGAGATCTACAGAGAAGCGAGAGTTATTATTAGTCTACCGGTCAATCATCTCCCTACTATGAATTCACCTATGATCACGGATTCTAGCAGTAGATATAATAGGTGATAAACATTTGGTCCCATGACTATCATCGAGCTGATATCAAACGTCATCAATACCAAGGTAACACTATTTGGGTACTTGTCTAAGGGCGTCGGGAATCAGCTGCGAGGAAGGGCAAAGTTCTTTGATAGACAGACCAGGTACCTAATGACCTTGTCTATCAGAATGATGTTTAAAGTATTAAGGAGAATGCCATCGAATACGACGCATATTGCGGTGTAGCACCGGGATGTGAAAAGCATCTCATCTATTGATCAGGAGTGGCTATAATTAGTACAAAAGAACAAAAGAACAATGACAATGGAAATGGAAATGGAAATGGAGATGGAGATGGAGATGGAAATGTGATTCCGATAGTGATAACGGAATGTATTGTATGCACTTCGGCATGCTTACTAGGTAGAGAGGTAATGTGAATAACAACAATAACAAAGTGTTTTATATAAAGTCGTCGACACCAAGGTAGAAAGGTAGCAGTAGCAATCATAATAACAGATGCAATGAATCAAAGAACTTGGGTTATAATACACTTTCTCAACTCAAGGATGACAACTTGGTTATATATCTATTAGCTTCCACGAGTATGTATACACAAACCTTTATCCTGCATATCTGAATCATCTATCCATTGACTGATGCGGTCAACTCGTGCCCAGGTGTACATGATCTCCCCACTCTTGGCGAATGCCCCTCTTCATACCGCAAACATATGCCAACCAGACTACGATACCAGATCAGATAGCCATCCAGCCAGCCAGCCATCCAGCCATCCAGCCCGGCTTAGATTCAGGAGCTCTTTATGAAGAAGGGAGAGCAACAACAACCTACATACAAACATAAATACATCTACATCGTTTTACCAATATTCATTTACCTTCCCTAGAGTTACTTACAAACACGCTTCCTTTAAAATACACTCATTATTATTCAAGTCTTCCCGCGCGTTATCCTGAATTCTGATCATTCAGGAAGCCCGGGAAACTATCAAGTGTCAGACATCCGAAACACCTCACGACCTCATTATCGTGTCAACCTCGATCAAACCCGAGTCCTAGATTATAAACACTACATCTACATTACATCAACTATAAAAACTCGCGCAAGTCTCTTTAACAGGACTTTATAACCATTTGAATGCCCACCTCATTCGATAACGAAATCAACAACACTTCAAGCGGCACATCACAACCTAGCAAAACTGGCAAAGGCGCTTCAGCTGGAGTACAAATTCCCACCAAGAACGGCAAAAAGAATGGGTCGGCGAGGGATGGCGGCGGTGGCTCTGGAGGAATTATGGCGGCGGTGACGAGGAATAATGCCGCGAAATCGTGGGTTTCTCAGTTCATAAAGGCTTTCCTGAACATACACGATTGCTAATCTGCCAACTCATTTAGTAAGAACAAATCTCCCGTGGTGACTCCTCCAACTCCATCCCCAGAGGCGACGCCGGTTGTTTCCATACAAGATGAAAGTTCTGTGACATCTCCTATGTTGGAGGCACTATCGTCGACCTCTCAGGGTTCTTCCGTCACGCACAATACCATTGAATGGGCTAAGGATATTCCAGCGTTTTCCAGTTCTCCAAATAACCTTATAAGTCTCGGTGGATCGCCGCCTACTCTGCCATCTTCATACGAAGACAAGATCACGAACTACAACTATTCAGCGAGAGAACAAAAAGGGTCTCCCAATAATCACATTCCCTTATCTTCTTCGCCAATAAGTGCAGTGGGCCGTAGAAGACCTATGAGTTACCAAATGGATGGAAACCTTCCATATAGTCCTGAAGAATATCACTCCGCTCTGGCTTATGCAGCTCGACGTACCTCAAGCTATTCACAACAATCACAGGCGATGCGATATAATCCTTATCCGCCACTCCCACATCAACCTCAAGCCCACTTCCATGGAGCGCCCGATACCAATCTCATGTTGTCACCAAGAACTTCGGGCCTGGTCCCTGGTGAGAAAGGCTTTTTTTGTGGACTTGATACTTATCCGGCTCAAGATGCGAACAAACCTCCAAACAGCGTGATTGTTACCGGATTTGAGGGTGGGCTTAGTATTCATAATGTTACGAAGAGAGGTCTCGGTAAGATACTCACCTTAGATGGTTTGAGAGGCGGAGTTTACAATGCCAAGATCCTTCCGTGGACTGCTTCATCGGAACTTGCTTTCCAATATCCTTTGATCGCGGTCGTTATACACGGTCCCGTTCGAACAATCAGTGACAGCTCCAGCGCCGAATACACAGCGTCTTCAGAAAGTCCACCCGCTCCAGTTGAGGACGAGGGCCTGGGGTCCCCAAGACTACCAGCCCGCTCCGTGAACGGCGACAACGATGATGACTTGATAGACTACTATCAAACAACCGTGGAAATATATTCCTTGAGCACAAAGAGATATATTGCCACCCTACTATCTACCCCGAAAATACACGTACCAATACCTCCATCAAGCCCATTGTTTACAGCACCGGCCCCTATCGGTTCTTTGACGATTCGAGCGGATCGAGGTAACGTTGTCGTAGCTTCCGGTATTACTGGCGAAACATGGATCTTTCGGCAGCGGGATAGTGGTGAGAAAGTCGAGTTCAAGTGCATCGGGAAGGTATGGACAACCGTTCAACATGGTCTTTCAGTAGATCCAGCTGTTTTCAACAATTTTGCTGAAGGTGG